GCTTCACAGAAACCGTCGCCAAGCCCCCGGAAGGATTGCCAAGCATAGGAGTGGCAGCACGCGTCGATGCAGACCAGCCAGAAACTGCGCATCTTGGCCTCCAAGGAGCAGGGAACCGACTTGAGCAAACGAGACGCCTGCAAGATGGGAACATCACTGTAAATAGACTCCGTCGAATACGCGTCCAAGCCAATCTGCGCTCCAACGTTGGCCGCGATGGCCGACCACTCCGTGCGCTGGCGGCTAGGAACGCGGAACCACTGGCGCGGGGTCGAAGGGCGCGAGCTTCAACTTCTTGATGGCAACGTCATCGAGGCCGCCAATGGTGTTGTCACACTGCTTCCGCGTGAGCCCCCGCGCTGCGAGGAGCTTGCCCCAGCCCTCATCAGAGGTGAGGTGACGCAACAAAAACCAGAGAACTTGCGAGCAACGTGCTCAACGCCTTCGGCGCTCTGCGAGTCCCGCCCCACCCGCCCCGCCCCCCCCCCCACCCCCCAGGATCGAGCGCAACGGGCGCAGCCCCTTCCGCGAGGGGGGAAGCAAGCGATGGGGGCTGCAGCACGCGGGCCATCACCAAAGACGGCGTGCGCTGCTGCCTCCACGGCGGGAACAGGCTCCGGCCCAGGGGCGTCGACCATCTGGAGCTCATCCTCGCCCCCGCTTGCATCATCATCACTGGGTTCACCACCAGCAGGCCGAAGAAGACCGTCGCGAGTGGCCATGAGCGAGCGCAGCGATGCCGCCTGCTTCGGAGACAGGGACTCGAACTGAATGAGCAGCGCAAAACCAGGGTCGTCGGGACCAACAGCTGCCGCAGCACCACCAGCACGAGGTCGACCTTCCACGGGTAGGTTGCTTACCGCCGCCCAGGCCACCGCAGCCGCGACGCCAGCGGCCCGCCCTTGAGACTGGAGCTGGTCGGGCTTTGCCTTTGCAGCAACCAACCCCAATAACTTATCATGCGTTTCCTTCTCAAGCTTGTCAGCCTTCGCCTCGGCCAGCACCAGCTGACGCTTGAGCTCATCATGATCCCACTGGCTGTGCTTCGCAACTGCCTTGGGATCGCCCGCCGCCAGCGCGAGCTGCGCCGACGCGCGAGCCCGCTGACTTGGGCCAAGAAGAGACTTACTGGCCTCGAAATCAGCACTGGACATCTCAACAAACACCGCAAATTGAGACTCGTCGAGCAGCTTAGGCTTCGCCTTCGCCACTTTCGGGGGGCCCAGTGACCCAGTCCACCTGAGGGCCGCGCACGGGGGGAGAACCAGGCACAGCAGGGCGTTCAGCACCACACTTCTAGCAGCGCTTACAGTTCGTCTTGAAGCCGCATTGCTTCTTTGGACTGCACCAGACATCGCCGCCACGACCGAGACTGCCCATGGAGGAGGAAAGACAAGAAGAAGCGCCACCGCGCGTGAGGGATGAAACCTCAGTGCAGTGATCGGATTCCTGGAGACCGTGGAAAGCAGTAGGGCCGCAAATCCTCTTGCCAAAAACTCGCGCCCGCTTGAGCAATGCCTCCGGACTTGAGCCAAAATGGCTACGGAACTCCAACCTCTTCCACCTCCTCCTCCTCCTCCTCCTCCCTCCTCCTCCCGCTTCACCCTCCTCCTACTACTCCTCCTCCTCCGCCTCCATTCCTCTTCCTGATACATAACTTCTCCACGCCGCACCCCGAAGCCAGTTTTTAAAGCGGGCCGGGCGTTTCGCCTGACAGTCTCTCACCAGATTTTAGGGCGCACATTCGTTCTCACACGTTGCAAAAGTTTCACGGATTGAAGGCGGGTGGTTTTCAAAATGTGGCTCTCGCCTTAGCACCGCGCACACTCGTCTTAAACATTGGCAAGAGCTTCGCGGATTGACGGCGGGTGGTTTTCAAAATGAGGCTCTCGCCCTAGCGCGGCACACATTCAATGTAAACATTGGCAGGGGTCTCACGGATTGAGGGCGGGTGGTTTTCAAAATGTGGCTGTCGCCTTTAGCGCGGCGCACATTCGTTTTGACAATTGTCAAAAGTTTCACGGATTGAACGCGGGTGGTTTTCAAAATGTGGCTCTCGCCCTAGCGCGGCGCACGTCCGTGTTTTTACAAGTTTCAAAGGTTTCACGGATTGAGGGCGGGTGGTTCTCAAAATGTGGCTCTCGCCTGAGCGGGGCACGCAATTTTCCCCATATCCTAAGTTGGGGTCCTTGTTATTACTTGGACGCCTCCTACTCCTCCTTCCTCTTCTTCTCCGCCTCCTCCTCATCCTCCTCCTAATACCTAGAGCTACTCATCGCAGATTGTGACGATGTCTCAGTCGGGGCGCCAAAAGGTATGACACGTTCGCGGCCGTTTTGTGGGGATGTCTCAATCGGTTTGCCTGTTTTCTGTCCCAACATCCTTCGCTTGGAGAGGAGATTGCGAGGATGTCTCAGGCGGGGTGCTGGTTTCAACACCCCTTATAGGGAGCCGCCGAAGGGGTATTGCACGGTCCTGGTCGCGGCCGTTTTGTGGGGATGTCTCACGCGGTTTGCTTGTTTTCTGTCTCAACCTCCTTCGCACGGAGAGCAAATTGTGAAGATGTCTCTGGCGGGGCGCTGGTTTCAGCTATCTAATGGGGAGCCGCCGAAGGCTATTGCACGGTCCCGTTCGCGGCCGTTTTGTGGGGATGTCTCAAACGGCTTGCCTGTTTGATGTCTCAACCGGTTTCGCTTGGAGAGCAGATTGTGAAGATGTCTCAGGCGGGGCGCTGGTATCAGCACCCCTAATAGGGAGCCGCCACGGGTGTTTTCACGGCTCCGTTCGTCGCCGTTCTGTGTGGATGTCTCTAGCGGTTTGCCTGTTTTCTGCTTGTGCGTTGTGTCCCGAATGGTTTTCCCCGTTGCGTACGGCGGTCAAGGAGGAGTGGCCAGGTGTTGCTGGCGCAGAGCTTGCGTCACCGTGGGATGTTGCTTTCTCTCTCCGTGGTGCTTCCCAATCTTGTCGTCGGCGGGAGAGGGAACTTGAGAAGGTTCATTTTCCTGCATGCGTTTTGGGCTGGGGAGGGAACTTGAAAAGGTTCACTCTCTAGCTGCGGGAGAGGAACTTGAAAAGGTTCACTTTCCCGCTTGTGGCCGAAATGGAAGGGAACTTGAAAATGCTCACTCTCCAGGCAGGGACAGGGAGCTTGAAAAGGTTCACTCTCCCTCGTGTGGTTCACACGCGTGCTCGTCGCTCACGTAGACGCGCTCTTATAAGAAAACTACCGCAGACGTATGTGCCCCATAGCACTACCCTACAATATGAGATGCACATATGGCTCATATGGCTAGACGCCCATGTAAATATCCAAAATACAACACTACCTTTTTGGAAAGGATGCACCAATGGGGATCTCCACGCAGTGAGCAATTGTTTGGCAAGAGCTTCACGGATTGAGGGCGGGTGCTTTTCAAAATGTAGCTCTCGCCTTTAGCGCGGCGCACATTCGTTTCAACAATTTCAAATGGCTTCACGGATTGAGTGCGGGTGGTTTTCAAAATGTGGCTCTCGCCCTTAGCGCGGCGCACATTCGTGTTTTTACAATTTCAAAGGTTTCACGGATTGAGGGCGGGTGGTTTTCAAAATGTGGCTGTCGCCTTTAGCGTGGCGCACACTATTGGTAAACGTTGACAAAAGTTTCACGAATTGAAGGCGGGTGGTTTTCAAAATGTGGCTCTCGCCATAGTGCCGCGCACATTCGTTAATCAAATTTGCAAAAAAAAAAAAAAAAAAAAAAAAAAAAAAAAAAAAAAAAAAAAAAAAAAAAAAAAAAAAAAAAAAAAAAAAAAAAAAAAAAAAAAAAAAAACGCGGATTGAGGGCGCTTGGTTTTCAAAATGTTGCTCTCGCCTTAGCGCGGTGTACATTCGTTTTAAGAGAGGACGCTCCTTTACAAAATGTGGCTCTCGCCTCAGTGCAGCGCACATTCATGAATCATATTTGCAAGAGCTTCACGGTAACTGGTTCACAATTATTCTAGTTCGGGCGCGCGGGGCGGCCCCTGGGGGTCCCCCGGCGAAAAGTACCCCGACCGCAGCCCAGGAAGGTCCCGGGAAGGTCTACTCAGAGATGGTTTTCCTCCTGGGTGCGGCCTCTCAGGCCCCCCAGAGCGCGCCAAGAGGGCCCCAAGAGGCCCCCAAGACTGCCCAAGAGGCCCCCGAGACGCCCAAAGGACGCTCCAAGACGCCGAAGATGATCCCAAGACGGCCCAAGAAGCCGCCAAGATGCTCCAAATGGCCTCCAAGAGGCCTAACAAGAGCGCCCCGAGAGGCCAAAATCATCAATTTTATAATGGTTTTGGAAGGATTTTGGCCTTGTCGCGTTTTCGGCTTTCCGATGATCATCATCTTCCTCCTTCCGGCGGCGCCGAAATGGCCCCGAGCCCGCGCCGAAGCAGTAGCGATCATGCAATACGGGCCGGAGGAGTGAGCGAAGCGATTGAGTAACATTTGCAAGAGCTTCACGGATTTCCATCATCAACGTGCCAGACATGGCGTTGTGGAAGGATTCGGGATTATGCGGGCGCAACAGTTACATTGATTTTCTATGTTGAAGTCCCAAGAATGGCGTTCTAGCATGACTCAAGATCGTCGAAACGCAACAGTCAGGTTGATCCGTCGCGTAGGACTCCCGAGAACAATTTTTTGGCATGCTTCAGGGTCTTCCAACTGCTGTCTTCCAACGAGGCAGTTCCCTCAGTAAAATGAACCGCTGTAGGGGCCTATGAAGTGGGAGCTTGGAGGGAGGGTTTATACCAAAATCGTTGATGACTCTTGGGTTTACACTGCTCCTCCTCCTCCTCCTCCTCCCCCTCCTCCTCCTCCTCCTCCTCATCCTCGCTCCTCCTCATCCTCTCCCTCGCTCCTCCTCAGGAGGAGGAGGAAGAGAAAAACGTGTGAGAAGGAGGGGGAGGAGGAGGAGCAACACGAGGAGGAGGAGGACGAGGAGGAGGAGGAGGAGGAAAGGGAATGAACGCGGCAGCCGCCGTCGACGGGCCGGCCTCCTCGGGCCTGAGGGGCAGGGCGCCCTGCGCCGCCATCCGAGGATGCCTGCCGCCCGGGAATCGGGAGGGGGGGGGAAGCAAGAGCCCCGAGGCCGCTCGGAAGGGCGTGCCGGGCGTTTCGCCTTCGACTTCCTCGTCATTTGTGATCCTGAAGCTTAAGATGTGCAGCAGTTTCCCGGATGGAATGCGGGTCGTGTCCAAAATGTGGTTATCGCACTGGCGTTGCGCACATCCGCCCTAAAAATCAGAAAAGTTCAACGAATTGAAGACAGGTCGTTTTCAAAATGTGATCCTCGCCTTGGCGCCGGGCACATCCGTCTTAAAAATGTGCAGGAGTTTCACGTATGGAAGGCGTGTCGTTTTCAAAATGTGGTTCTCGCCTAAGCGCCGCCCGTACATTCGTCATTGAACAATGCAAGAGCTTCACGGATGGAGGGCGGTTCCTTTTCAAAATGTGGCTCTCGCCTTAGCGCCGCGCACATGCGTTTTCAGAGATTATAACAATTTCGAAGAACGAGCTTCAAAAAGCAACCCAACGTCCCCAAAATGGTGTTCTGGCACGATGTCGGACTGTCAGGGCGCAGCAGTCACGTTGATTCGTGGTGTCGAAATCCCAAACATCGTGTTCTGACATGATTCACGGTCGTCAAGACACAGCAGTAACGATGATTCGCGGCGTTGAAGTCCCAGGAGTGGTGTTTTGGCACAGTTCACGATTGTCAAACGCTTGTTCTCCAACGGGGAATTTCCTTCAGTGAAAAATGAATCCTTGTAAGGGGCATATGAAGAGGGAGCTTGGAGGGAGGGTATATTGCAACATCGTTAATCAATATTGGTTTTCCACTGGTCCCTCCTCCTCCTCTTCCTCCTCCTCCTCCTCCTCGTCCTCCTCCTCCTCCTCCTCCTCCTCCTCCCCCTCCCCCTCCCCCTCCCCCTCTTCCATTACCTCTTCCCTAACATCCTCTTCACGTTCTTCCTCCGCCAGATCAACTCTTTGGACTCCTTCCCCGAATCCTCATCCATCTCCTCCTCATCCTCCTCCTTTGAGACGTCAGGCGGACTTCCGCAACCTGGGCTGTAGCGTTTCTCGGGTCTGGAAAGGAAGGAATGGCAGGGCAAACAGGCAAGCCTAACCAAACAACAGTAAGAAAGTAGAGGGGCGAGTCAATGACAATGACAAAAAACAAGTAAAGCATACAGAAAATGCTGCACGCCCAGTAGCGCTAGGATTCCCTGGGATGGAACAAAAACATCAAGGGGGAAGTGCCCTCGACGAAGGTCTCGCGTCGCGCTCACAACCATGACCTATCCCCTTCCAAGAACTCGCCGAACGCAAGCGCCTGAAAGCGCGCGGCTGACCAGCCACATGGATCGGGGGCGCGCAAGCATGGATTAGCGATCCATGGACATGGCGCGCGGTCGCCAAATCCATGGATCGCGGGAGGCGCCCTCCCCAAAATGCGGCCGGCGCCGCCTCGCTCGGCGGCGGGAATCCGCGATTCCCCACGGAGACGGGACCCGTCGCCAACCCACGCCCCTCGCGGTCCACGTCTGCGATCGCCTGGGACCAGCCACGCGGAGGCAGGCTCGAGCGGAGGCCGCTCCCCCCGCCGCCTCGGCCTGCCCCGCCCCTCTGCCACGACGAGGTGGCATGCTTGAGGGCGCTGGGCGGGCGAAGCACGGAGGTGCCCCGCGTGCTGGCTGGCGGACGGTGGCGGCTGGCCCGTGTTTGCCCTCGGCAGCGCGACTGCGGTCGTCGGCCTGGCCCGAGGAACGATGTTGAGGAACGAAGCCCCTTTCTTTGTCAGGGGGTAACGCACCAGGAGCGATAGATCATGAATAACGCACAAGGAACGATACATGACGCATGCAGGCCTAAGGAACGACCGAGCCCCTTTTGAAAAGTGAGTGCTCCTCATTCAAGCCGCCCACTGTAAGTCGCAAGATACTGGCTTCGTTCGCGGGTAGGCTACAGGCCAGCACCCAAATCTCTGGCCTACATGTTAAAGTGTACTCTAAATGCTGATGCAGGGCTGCAATCGGAGACAAGACAGTGGAACACACAAGGCAACCATAGACGGAACTTCGGCTCGCCCTTTACACAACCATCCGACCCCCCACCCCCTCAAAGTAATATCGATGACCACCACGGCTATTGCGTTGGGTAGGCAGACCCCCACCTCCTAATCCTGTACCCCAGTACGATGGCTCTAGTGCCGCTGTTGGCTACACTTCTGCTGATTGCGATGCAAGTGACAGCGACGCGCGTATGAACCACTGTGCTGGAGACGCGGATGAGGTGGAGCGACAGATCCAACGTGAAGGAAATGAGACCGAGGGGCAACGCAATAGTAAGATGCAGCAACATAGATGTAGAATAATTGCGCAAGGAATACGGCAAATGGAATGCGTTTCTATTGTGGTTGCCCTGTCATTAGGGCATGGCGATGTCCGCCTCCACCCCCAATACCACTGGCGGTGTGCACCTGAAAAATCATGCGGCGGAGATGGAAACGATAGAACATACGAGTAAAACGCCTAGTAAGAGAAGAGTAAGCACCCATGCGGAATCGGCACTATGTTTTTACTTTGGATGCCCTGTCTCAGGGCGCAAGAAATCTCCTCCTCCGCCCCCACTACGAACACCCGCCTCCACCTCCACCTCCTACTCCGTGCAGCGTTCAAGAATGCCCTCGCCCACGGCAGCCCAGGACAGCGAGGGTCGCGCCCGCGAGTGGCAAGCGCTGGCGCAGACAGAACTCCGCATCCCTCCCTCTCCGCACGCTCCTACCCGTCCCACTGGACGGGGGAAGAAGGGAAGAGGAACGAATCAGGCAAATGGAAGAAAGAAGAAGGATGGAGGAGGAGGAGGAGGAGGAGGAGGAGGAGATGGCAGGCAGGGGAATCGTGGGAAACAGATGTTATCCAACAGCAAATGATACTGGTGCGCGTCGATCGCCAAAATCAAAAGTATTGAACAGCGCAGAATGCTGCGCGTAAACCTTCGGTATCATAGAAAAGTCCGCCAATATCAGCCCCTTGTCATACTGTGATGCACACTACTGCAATTGGAGCTACACTGGTTCGCCATGTTCTTATATGAAAGTGAGGAGTGACCCCACTTGGTCACTCGCTATCACTCGAGCCCAAGTCGACCTTCTTGACTCAATATGACATCGAGTGTACCTTCACCGTTGCACATATAAGTGAACATATGCCGTATCAATTTCGTCCGTGACAACTTCTTGAGCATGCCGACGGCCAAATATCTGGTGAAAGTGATATCGAGTTCCTGAGCTGGCCTTGTATCGGGCTGCCCGCTTGAACTCTTCGCGCAACTGTTGCATCGTGGCATAGCTCGTATTTCGAATACACTTGCTGGCACCTCTGATGGACGAGAGGTGTCTCTGATGCTCTCCCCTGCCTGGAAAAGGTGGTGCAGGAGTTGGTGGTGGCGGCGCTGATACCGCTAGAGTCGGCGGCGCTGCTGTCGGAATCGGCTGTGCTGCTGGAGCCGACGGCGCTGCTACAGTCGGTGGTGCTGCTGGGGTCGGTGGTGACGCTGGAGTCGGTACTGCTGAAGTCGGCGGCGCTGCTGCCGGAGTCGGCGATGCATGCTGCGATGCATGCTGGGGTCGGTGGTGCTGCTGAGGTCGGCAGGGCTGCTGGAGTCGATGGTGCTGTTGGAGTCGGCAACACTGCTGCCGGAGTCGGTGGTGCTGCTGGAGTCGTTCGTGCTGCTGGGGTCGGCGGCGCCGCTGGTGCTGTTGTTGGAGTCAGGGATGCTGAAGTGGGTGGTGCTGCCGGAGTCGGTTGTGATGCTGGAGTCGGCGGTGCTGCTGGAGCCAGCACCGCTTCTGCTGAAGTCGGTGGTGCTGCTGGAGTCGGTGGTGGTGCAGCTGGAGTCGGCAGCGCTTCTGCTGAAGTCGGTGGTGCTGCTGGAGTCGGTGGTGCTGTTGGGGTCGGTGGTGCAGCTGGAGTCGACGGTGCTGCTGGTGTCGGCGGCGCTGCTGCCAGAGTCGGTGGTGCTGCTGGAGTTGGTGGTGCTTCTGGGGTCGGTGGTGCTGCTTGGGTCGGTAGTGATGGAGTCGGCAGCGCTGCTGCCAGAGTCGGTGGGGCTGGAGTCGGTGTTGCTGCTGGGGTCGGTGGTGCTGCTGGAGTCGGTAGCGCTGGAGTTCCTCCTCCTCCTCCTCCTCCTCCTCCTCCTCCTCCTCCTCATCAGCATCAGCATCAGCATCAGCATCAGCGTCAGCATCAGCATCAGCATCAGCATCAGCATCAGCATCATCATCAGCATCAGCATCAGCATCCTCATCCTCATTCTCCTCATTCTCCTCATCATCCTCATCATCCTCATCATCCTCATCATCCTCATCATCCTCATCATCCTCATCATCCTCATCATCCTCATCATCTCATCATCATCATCATCATCATCATCATCATCAGCATCATCATCATCATCAGCATCATCATCACATCATCATCATCATCATCATCAGCATCAGCATCGGCATCAGCATCATCAGCATCAGCATCAGCATCATCATCAGCATCAGCATCAGCATCAGCATCAGCATCAGCATCATCATCAGCATCATCACCATCACCATCACCATCACCATCATCATCCTCATCATCCTCCTCATCATCATCATCATCATCCTCATCTCATCATCCTCATCATCATCATCCTCATCATCCTCATCATCCTCATCATCATCATCATCATCATCATCATCATCATCATCATCATCATCATCATCATCATCATCATCATCATCATCATCATCATCATCATTATCATCACACGTTCTCCTCCTCCTCCTCCTCCTCCTCCTCCCCCTCCTCCTCCTCCTCCTCCTCCCCCGAGGGGGGACGACAATCTCGGTTGTTGCTAGAAGCGCCCCAGGCCCAAGGTGCTTCCAGGATCGTTTGGGTGGCCCAGACGGCCTCCAGAGCATCACTCACAGGGCCCAGAGGGCACCAGGGGCTGCAAACTGGAGCGAGACACTTCTCTAGCAACACCTGACAAT